AAAGCCATATCTCCAGCAATCAACGGGCTGGTGTCTGGGTCAAAGAAACAGCAGTGATACGCAATAATTATTTCAGTAAGCCATGCACGAAAACAATCTAAAAGACACCTCACATATTAAAATTTTAAAGGCTATACAGCTCCCTGAGATGCAGGAGCTTAAAATATTACCGTTTTGGCAAGTATACAACAAGTTCTATAGCTTTTATCTTCCTAATGACGCAGGCCTAATACATCCCTCACAATTATCTGAAATGATGGTTCTCAAAAGTCTGATGCAGGCCTCTCTAAGAAGATCTCAGCAGTTGCTAAGGGAAGCACAAGCTCCTCTGCCAGAATATTATTCAGACTGGGTCATTAAATGAAAGTTCCATAGCATGTATGCTGCTCCACTTTAATATTGAGTGACACTAATTCTGGGAAACTCAATGTTTTAAGTGAGATTTTTAGGTTTTTCTTAGACGTTCTGGTAAAGGAACTATTTTACTTATTTCCTTGTTACACTGCACACCCAGAGAAATGTGCTTGGATGAATGAACTCTTCATATTGATTTACAATATCACTAAATATTGATTTACAATATGACTAAAAGCCCAAAGCACCAGTACATGCAAAGCTTGTTTCTGTTGTGTGTATACACACACACACATACTAAGAATAAGGCCCGTTGTGGGAATAAATACAACGAGCTCTAGAAAGAGGCTATGGGTGAGTGCCTCAGCTTTGGGGGGAGGGGGCTGCAGTGCATGTTGGGACAATGGTCTGCATATGTTGTTTTGGTATTGATGATTGTATAGTTGGTTGGGTCAAGATGTGCTGCTTATGGTTATTATGTGTTGCAATATTTGGTTTTTAGTGGGCTTTTGCATGGATGAAGTATATACAGTTAGTGTGAAATCAGTCATCATCATTTTTAATTATTTGTCTGTACCTTGGTGTGGTACACGGAGAATGTAAAGTGTGACATCCTCATTGTGTCGGGTCTCTGGACAACCCAACGTATAGCTGGCCAGGAAATATAGAGGATTCCATCATCAGCATTGCAGAATTTCTCTGTAAACGATGTTTTTGGTGAAGATGTTATCAGAATTGACAATTAATTTGCCTTGCTGAGGTCCATGGACAATGGGAACCTTAACATCCTCAAAGTGGCACACTCTGGACAATGGAAACATAAAGTTGGCCATGGCTAAACACTGGTTCACAAAGGTAAACACTGACTTTTTCCAGTGTTTGACCTTGTGAGCATCCTGAATGCTCTCTTGCTCAAACTCATAAAGCATTTTATAGGCATCTGCAAATGGGTTATTATTTGTCATGAATGTACTTAAGGTTTGCAGTAGATGTGCACTGCACCCACAGTTTTCTTGCATTTGCAGTCTTTGGGCTGCAGCCTCCTCAGGATCAAGAATGAAAAGCTGTGCATATTTCCATTGTTTGCCATTTTCACGGTGCAGTGCTCCTGCACAGCAGTAGATGGATCCACTGATTCTAAAACAGTAAAGGCCGTAACCTGGTAGAGGAGTCATTTGTGCTCCCATTGATAAAAATGCAAGGGAGCTATTAATTGACCGTATGTTAACAAAGAAGTCTGTTGAAAGCTCATGGTGATATGTCAGAAGTTATTCAATTAATGGGGAAATGTGAATGGGATCTAATCTGACTACTCCTTTGGAGCAACAGGTCGAGAACTTTCCATCGGATGTTCTTTCTCTAGGGAAGTGTTTTGACATGGCAAAATTCACAAATTTGGTCCAGAGAGCCACACAAGTGTGTAGGAACAGCATTCTCATCATCTATGTAGTATAAGTCCTCATGGCGTGCAATGGTTTGTGTAGCTTGGAGAATTGCAACATCTCTATTTTTGTGGTCTTGACATATTTGAGCAGTTACCTCTGCTGTTTCTTGTTGTCTGTTAATGAGTTGTCTGTATGCCTTTCATTTGGTGAGACGTGCCCTTTGTTCAGGAGTCATGTTTTGTGCCTGTGCAGTATGGACAGCGTGCATGCAGAGATTCAGCATCTCTTTGCTGTGGCATCATAGCATGACAACGATTATGCAGACACTAAAGCTCAGCATTCCTTTCATCTGCAGTGTGTTGTTGGCGCCTTTTCCTGTCATTTTCAGCCTTGCGGCATTTAGCATCAGCATGTGCTTGTGGTAGGCTCTGTCTTTTTTGTCGTGGCATGGTTGTGTTATGGGCTACCACAGAGTATGTGCATCAAGGCACACTGTAACGATTTCATGTTTTGTTTGTGTGTGACTTTAAAGTTTGGTTTGTATGGATGTATGACAGACTTGGATGCTGGACTCAGGCAAGTGATATGATTGGTGAGTGACAGAGAGGGGGAGGGGTTTTGGAATGGATGCTGTGTGGATGATTGAAATGTCTTTCAGGAGTGTCTGTTAAGGGTTGTCAGTTAAACAGTGGAGTAAAACAGAGTCAGAGGAGAGTGTGCTGTGTAAAAGCAGTTGATATGAGTTTTGTCCTGAGGTCTCTGTGTGAGAAGTTCCTGTGTGAAATATAAGAGTAAAAGTCTCTGTGTTAAGCAGACGGTTAAGTTCTGTGTTATAAGAGTTACAATTGAAAGCTGAGAGTCTAAGAAGAGTACAGTGAAAAGTGTTACAAGGTTGCTTTAACCTCCCTGTCAGTAAAGGAGAAGCTTGTGAGAGACACCAAGCATTTGTTCAAATCCTTCCCAGTACTGTTTACATTGTTTACCCTCGTATTTATGTTTTCTTTAAGTAAATCCTAATTCCTTCAAGTATATCAGCTCAGCAAATAATCCTTCCTCAGACCACATAGACCTTCATGAATGCCTAAGACCCATGGTACACCTACCCCGTGGAAAATATTATAGGAAAAGGTTTGGGAAAACCTAGATTTCCCTGGTGGCAGCCAGAATACCCTACAGAATAAAACTGAAAGAACATTTTAAAGTAAAACTAGACCTCCCCAAATAAGAGGTCGTCACACACACATTTTCTGTAGAGGAAATGATGTGCTGTGGCTGGGGAACGTGGTGATTTCCAGATCTCTAGGCTCCACAGGGAGATAGGCAATCCCAGTGAACATTTAGGGGAAGACCAGGAGATGTATTTTACCTGAGGACATACTCAACGACTGTTTAGCAAACTCTTTAGAATGTTGGAGGCGAGGGCCAATCAGGCTACATATGCAAATGACTTCTGTGTTCTGACTGGCTATGAGGGGGGAGAGAGGATGACATGTGGAATGGCGTGAGGCCCAATCAGCCCACATATGCAAATGACTTTGAAAGGCTGGGCCAGTTAGGTAGAAGGTGAGTCATTGGGAACATGGCTAGCCACACAGAGAGAGAGAGAGAGTGCGCAAGTTAAGAGCCTGACAGAAAAATTGCATCTCTTATATCCAACATTTCACCTTAAACACTGTGATGCCAATGGAGAACAGTTCCTGGTAAACTAACTTTTAGATACACATTCTTTCATCAAGTGAAACGCATTTCTTGTGGTGTAGCAGCTTTAAGATTGTGTCCTGTTGTTTGTTTTTTGCAGTTGGAAATGCCAAAGAGAAGCGAAAACAATAGAAACAAAGGTTCCATCAAAGGAGAGGATGTGTAATTGCCAAGTAATTGCCATTCTACAGTAAATGTACCTTCACCAGTTTCCACTGTGCTACAGGCATCCACCTGGGCTCCTTTAAAATCACCAAAGCAGCTCACATTTTCTGTATTTGCATTGTCTTCAAGAGATGGCAATGGCAAAGAAGAATCATCAACTCTATCCATGTACTTGTAAAAACCAGGAATCAGGAATGTGATGTTCTAAAATACAAAAAGCAACATTACAAAAATTGATCCCCTTCTTTTTGCAATGTGGTGATCAATACCAACACACCCTGTGATTGAACAGAGAATTGCTTTGTTCAAAAGGGCATGCGTATTGGTCTTTGTCCAATATGTAGACAAAAACCACTGATGTAAAATGCAGATAGTTGATGAAAGCTCCAAAATGAGCTTCTCCAATCCTCTGACAGAAGTAAGCTAAATATTTCTGGCAACTTGATTAGATATAAGCTAATCCCTAGCCAATGTGCCCATCCTTTTAAACAGCTGCCCTCCCTCATTAACACTCAGCTGAGGAATGGACGTTCTTGCTAAAACATACTTATGATCCATTAAGCCTAACAAAATAACATTTCAGTTTCATGGAGGTATTTACTAAGAGAAAAGAAATAAAAATTTACCTTTCCCAGCAGTTCTCTTTTTTCATAACCAAACAGCATTAAAGAAAATGCATTGTTGATTCCATAAATTGTACCATCTGCCTGCACTGTTATCAGTCCGCTGATAGTTGTAAACACCCAGACAGTAGCAGCAAAAGAACACTCTATGGAGAAGGCAGTTGTTTGGTCTTCTAGATTTTCAGCTTCAGGTACTGGCACAGGGTCCTCTACTACCAAAGTAGTTTTTTCAGGAGGAAAGTTCACCTTCAGTTTCAGGCTTAGAGGAAACGTTGTACCCTCCCTTGCTCTGCCCACAGACCTCTGAATCTTGAAATTCTGAAAGAAGCAGCTCTCAGTCACATGACACATTACAACTCTATGCTCACAAAGATGAGATATAGATAGTCACATTAAAAGCACAATCCTAATTCAGACTGTAAACTGTTTAGGATGATTACTAAGCCTCACATCAGAGCAATGCAGCAGTAAACCTGTGTAGTGTTCAGCCAATGCTACACGCGTATAAACCCAACTCGCCTAACGCATACTAGTCCTTTCAATCCACATCCTACCCCCAGTGTATGTTGCAATGGCAAAAATACTGAAGTACAGACACTTGGGAGAAAAAAACAAAGACTCTCCCCACACTCTACCATGCGTACATAGCCACGACACAACATTGGATACCAGCTACGTCTGCAGTCAGTTACATCTCACTAAGCACCATATAAATCCAGTCAGGAAACTCATATCTCAAGTGATAGATTTCACAGCATGAGGCACTGTCTCTCTAGCCTCATAAGATACATACAATGCATGGGAGGAACTTTGATGGTGGACACTAGAGAAAAGACACTTTGCACTAAAAAAAGAGAACAGTTTTCACAAATAGCCAAGAACAAGTACTATGACAGCATGTTGCTAACATTGATCTGCACAAAACCTAAGACATGGACACTAAACTGACTGCCTCACTCTAACTGGGGATGCAGAAACAATGTGCCCCATACAGGTAAGCAAGGGAGGGGCATCCCCTGATTCAAACTTTGCCTGCTGCAAATGACTGCCCTGCAGTGTCTACTAACTCTTTTTTTCTCAATTCCTTTTCCCCTCTCAACAGTTGCTAGCAGTGTCTCCTAAATACGGAGCACAGAGTTGGTAAACAGGGTGCAAAAGGGTGCTCCGCTGGAGATATGCTAACAGAACATCACTGTGATAATATCATGCCAGTATAATCCCTAATCCAGTATAACCCCACATGTCCAATCTGCTGAGTCTACAAAATGGTGAACAGCTGCAGTGACCAATTAATATCTAACTGCTGTGCTGTGGGGTTGCCAACTCTCTTCTTCAAACCTGGCTCCTGTACTCTTGCAAGGTACTTAGCAGAGAGCTGTTTGACCAGCAACATTGCACCTCTCATGGACCTGCAGCCATAGGAACAGCTCTGCCCGGGATTCTGCTGTCAATACAGGTTTCAAAGGCACAAGTGCTTTCAGAGATGGCCACCCCATTCACCTGACTTGCAGTCAGAAGTCATTTTTTGATGGTGCTCAAAAAATGTTCTAACTGTTTCACAGCTGTGTCGGTTGTGATGGGATATGGCAGACAGTAATCTATGCCTGATCCCTGCTTGTTACCAATCTCAGGGGTTCACAGTCTGAGAGGGCTGCAAGGGGTAATGCACTGGTATCTGGGGCTTAGGAAACTTCCAGTAAATAAAGTATTAACTGACAATGTCCAGGCAATCAGATGCCATTTGACTGCTGGTTTCAAATTATTATCACAAAGCTAGAGTTACAAACAAGAATCAGCCTATACAAAGTTAGCACTTACATGGCATTAAAAAGAACAAATAATTCACAGCATGGTACCTTAGGGATTTTCTTGCCAGGAGGAGGAATTTGTATAGAAGGAATCAGGTCTGTGATGTAATGACCAATCACATCCTCAGGTGATGAGTAGCCATGTAGATGAGCAAAAAGGGAGTCACATGAAGTTACCTCTCCCTTAAGATAGGAGATTCACAAAATTAGTTTCTTACTATAACTGCAGATTACTGCATTCCACAGTATCTGTTTGACAATATAAAATGTCCAAAACACGCACAAAGGAGCAATAGCAATCCTGATAACTAATTCAGCAGACAAGGCTCCATACCTAAGTAAAAATGACCACAATCATGTAGCAAACACCTATGGTGTAAAATAATTTATTTTAAACAATCCCAGTTCTTCAGAGTGCTGAAAGCGAAATATTATTGAAGTGAAATTACTCATACAAAATCCACAAAGCATTTGATTGACATTTATGTTTTCCCTTTGATGAAGTTCGCTAGCATGTTTCAAAGGACCAAACATGTTTCAAGAAATCTTGGTTTACTCATAGGAATTTGTCACTGAATTGCTCGAATTACATGAACATTCATATATGGCAAATAGACAGATACCCACATTGCTTGTGAAGCAAACAGAAGCAGCAAGTCTTTCAACAGGCTCCAGAACAACCACACAGTACCGACTTCCATGAGTTTTTATTCTTCTCATCCATACAGAAACTGGGATCTTTTCGTTGCTACAGGAAATAACATCTACCTATTGATAAAACACACTGTTAAGTTTCTGACTGGCAGAGCTGAGAACTGGATTAGTGCAGTGATTCTGACTTTCAGTGCCAATTTCTATATAAATGTTTGTGTTTTCATTTGTGAAACTTTATAGCATGAGAAGTAGAGTCATGAAATACAAGGAAAGTACACATTCAGACATATGCATTGGTAATCCCTTGGTAAGTGCACATTGTCATCACATCTAAGTGGACTGTCAATTAAAGTTGTGCAGTACTGTTCCAGGGCTAATCTCAGCCGCCTGAATGACATGAAATTCCACATGTATACTGAGAACTCAAGGAGTCATAGGTGCCCTGACCTGGTTAGCCCAGACAAGCCCGATCTTGTCGGATATCGGAAGCTAAGCAGGGCTGACCCTGGCAAGTACTTGGAAGGGAGACCTCCAAGGAATACCAGGGCTGGGATGCAGAGGCAGGTAATATCAAGCTACCTCTTTGAAACATCCAAGCCCCACCAGGGGTCGCGAGAAGTCACCATGACTTCCAGGCATGCAAGTGTGTGCACGTGCACACACACACACGAAGAGCCGCAGGTGACAGACATATCATGTGCAAAACTCCCAGAAAGACCAGAGACCAAACATAACACATACTATTTTACATTTATATGGTGCCTTTTGAGCTTTAAAAGTGCTCTGCTTATATTATTTCAGTAATTGTTACAACAGCCCTGTAAAATAAATCACAGGTCAGTATTATTATTCCTACAAGGTGCTTAGGGGGGGCCAACAATGGGGGGGCTTCTAATGTCCTGGCCTCACTGGTGGACCTCCTGATGGCACCTGGTATTTTTGGCCACTGTGTGACAGTGTTGGACTAGATGGGCCTTTGGCCTGATCCAACATTGGTGTCTCTTATGTTCTTACAATACAGGCAGGGAACAGAGGAAAGAGAAATAGTGGCTTGCCCGATGCCATTTAGTGAGTCTGTGGCAAAGATTAGATTTGATCTGACTCAGGATCTTTGCCATTACAAGATACAGGCTATCACACAGAGTTCTGCACCAGAAGAATTTTGGAAGCTCCATAGAAATGGTGGTGGAAAATGCTGTCAAGTCACAGCTGACTTATGGCAGCCCCATATGGTTTTCAAGGCAAGAGACATTCAGAGGTGGTTGGCTGTTGCCTGCCTCCACATCACAACCCTGGTATTCCTGGTGTTCCTTGGGATTCCTTCCACATCACGACCCTGGTATTCCTAGTATTCTGATACTAGCCAGGGCTAACCCTGCTTAGCTTCCAAGCTCTGATGGGATCGGGCTAGCCTGGGCTATCCAAGTCAGGGCTTCCCTAGAAATACAATCCCTATAATTCCCAAACTGGATAGAGGGGAAATGATTGCTTATGATTAAGCAAGTGCAATTTTTTTAAGGGGGGGGGGGTGTTGCAGGGTGTTAAACTAGGCATCCTCAGACAGGGCTGAAATTCTATGTATGCTTGCTCTCGTGTCCTGCAACACTTGCTTTTCAATAACCCTGCACAGGTTCAGACTGCAGTGCTTCAGGCCCAACTGTCCAAATTTAGAGAAGGGACTAAAACTGGAAAAAAATGAAATCTTTCAAAGCATGACAAACTCAAAATACCTGAACATACTACTTCATGCATCTGATGAAGTAGGATCTATTGCATATAAACCTGTGCCACAATCAACCCACTAATCTTTAAAATGACTCAGAAATCTGTTTTTAATGCAATGATAAAGTTTACCTCCTAGACCCATAGTAAGTACGTCAAAGCGGAAAAGGTTCACCATAAGATCACTATTAAAGCTGTCAACTTTTCAACTGGCCCCTGCAGCCATGCCTTGAATAAGATTAATCTGCAGCATTTAGCAGTTCTTTATTCCTGTCTTGTGTAAAGCTTCAACTACTGATGAGCCACCGATCAAGCTGCTGTTATATGTGTAGTAGGCTGACCCCTTTTTTCTTTTCCCCTTTCCTTTTGACTGGAACGTTTTAAAAATTTATTTGAACACAAAAAAGAAAAACCTACATATACAATAACTTGGAAAGGAAAGCAAAATTCAATAATACATAAAACACTCAAAACGAATTACCTGATTCTGTTTCTGAATACAAGGCAACCATACTGAGTCTAACTCATTTTTATACTTACCTTTCTGTAAATAACGTGACTGAACAACAACAACAATTAGAAAATACATTTAATTTTTTTTGTCCATTCCCAGATGTCTGAAGATGCTTCCTTTTCCCAGCATCTAGCACAGAGAATTCTGGCTATCGTAATCATGTGTACTTGGTATCCAAACCCCTTTTTTCTAATCAGTTGGCAATCTTAAATCTTGGAAAGCAAGCTGTGAGACAGTGGCGAAAACCTTGCTACAGATAACCAAGGAAAATTCTCAGCCAACGATTAAAAACAACATGCCCATTCTGCACTATTGAAAAGATAAAAGGAGGTGGCAATTTCATTCTAGGACTAATCAATATATGCAGCCAATCTTGTAAAATGCAACAAAAGGTTCCATTTATCTTAACCACTGTTCATGCTTCCTTAGGAAGGCCAGCTCCATTCCTTAAGAACAATACCTCAGACAGACTCTAAGACTGCTTTAACATACAGTTAACAGAAGTCCAGTGGCAGCTTAACAAGTAAAACAAGTAATGAAATTTATTCCTGCATGAACTTTTGTAAGTCATATCTCATTCCATCAGATGCACATGGAATGGTAAATGATATAACCAAAATAATGTGTCTGGGGGGGGGGGACGACACATTAACCGTAACAGAGAGATACTAGTTGTAAGTTATTCAGGGGAGTTCCTGTGTAAAGGAATTGAATAAATGCGGCTGTGACACATAGTGAATGATGAGAAAGGTCACCGATTCCAGCATATCATGGAGTGCAGGACACAGAAAAACAGATGATGGGCAGAGTGGGATAAACTATGTATAGCAGCCAGAATGAACATGCACCCAGTCCATTAACCACAGCCTAAAACTGGTTCTACCCCTAAATATATCAACTAGTGTAACTAAAAGTTCAGTATCCCATGCATGTATATATTTAACTGCTACATCTTTGACTAGAACCACTAAATATAATAAATGTCATATCTTTAATTCATATGTTACATAAGTGTCAAAGGAAACAATCATGCTAGATTTTGTGGCTATAATTGTCAGTATTGATAGCATTATAAAATAAAGCACACCTATACAAAAACAATAGCATGCATGTATCTAACCCACCCTGAGCCTAATTGCGGGGAGGGTGGGATACAAGTTCAATCAAATAAAAATAAATAATTCCACTGTTTCACAAACCACAGTTCCAGGAACTGCTGCTACATGTCCTTGAACATCAACATGCTCTTCATTCAGTGCCTCCACTATATCCCAGTTGGATTTTGAAATCATCCGACATAATTTCTGGCCAATCAGTTCCTGGCTGCTGTAACCAAGAAGCTTATAGGCTTTGTCATTTGCAATTAGAATCTAAAGAGGAGAGAGCAAGAAGGGAGAAGTCAATTTTCTATCGCTTCTAGAAGCCTACACAAATGCATGCCGTTGTTCATTCAGTAATTAGCACCAGGCATATAGAGAAAGTTTGCAGTACCCATTTCAGCAGGCCATCAGTTTTTAAATGTACACCAAAATCCAGCATTTTAATAGTTCATAAGCATTCCTATGCAAGTTTACTCAACAGAAAGATCAACTGAGTGGAATCGCTTTCTGTGGCTTGTCCCCAAGGTATGTGATCAAGTAGTTGTTGTTTTGCAGTTTACCCTTTGATAGATGTACTGTTCTATTTTCAACCTTGCTCCAGCAAATTCTTATAGAACTAAAAACCAACACTGCATTAACACAGAATTTTAGTTCTGTTCGCAAATATGCCTTCAAGGAGGAGTTCCAAGCTAAAAAATTAATAAAGGCCAAAATAAAAGCCCAAAACCCACCCCAACACAGTATAATAGTATGGTCCTCAAATCCAAGCAGTAACCTCTGATTAAAATTAAGTGCAATTACTTAATTGGTTCTAAACAATAAGAGTGGCATACCAAACACAGTTATTACCGAGCAGCAGCAGGCCCCTTTTGGTCTTCAGTTTCCAGACACAGCCAGCTACAGCTGTTTCCAATGAAAGGAGCTGTTTTTAGCATCTATCACACACAACAATGTGATATGACAGCAATTCCAGGTTAGGTTTTCAACATGGATTTAGAGGTAGGCTCTTTCCCAAAAGTATAATGGATATAGGTTAAGCTTCAGGAAGCTCATCCCATGGTTTGGGAAAATCAGTTTCCATATATTGGCACATGGAAAAGTACAGGTCTCTAAGCTTTGTTATCTGCTGGGGTAGCAGTAAGGGCATGTGCATTTTGGATTGTGAGGGCATCTATAGCAGGCTGTTGCAAGGACATTTGGTCAGGGGAAAACTGTTCCATGTAATATTTTGAGCAGCACATTCTGGCTGTCTGCAGGAAGCAAGAAGGATCAGCTGCTGAAGTGACATTGGCCGAGTTCAGACTGCAAGTTTGGCCCGATATAGGCACGTTTCAGAAATGTTTCACAAACGGATTAAAGGGGCCGTTCACACAGGCACATCTGTTTGGTGTTCCCCAGCCGTACTCAACCTGTCTCGTAACGCTTCCCTCCTGAGTTTAAAAGATACCAGGTGAAAGTGGTATCAAACCCTGGAAAGCGCGATTATCCCATGTCTATCCCGCACCAACAAAGTGTGAATGACAAAAGCCGCGTTTTTCTTGTGCACTTATGCACATAAGCTCATATCTCCAGATTTCCAAAACGAGAGCCGCGCCACACAGCCGTGCCTCCACCAGGGGCAGGCCAACAGTGTGAACGCTCCCTTGTGCCTCCTCCCCGGTATGCTCCCGTATCAGTCAGTGCAGTGTGACCGGGAAAACCCGGAACAGTTTGTTCCGGGTCTTTTTTGCCATGACTCCCTCCTGCTTCAAACTGCCAATCTGAACTCAGCGGAACTTCCAGGCTGTGCTGTGTGAATGAATGGTGTCTTATGCATTTGAGACTATTACAAGTGCTATGTTTTGGATTATCACTTATATTTTTGAACACCTGCATATCAGTGCAAGGGGGAGTCACAATTGTAGCACTCTGGATAAACTGCTGAGTGCTTCTCCTATGTCGTTTCTTAACCATACCCTTATGCCAGTCTTATGAGTACCCAAAGTCTTGCTGTAACTACACAGCTGCAGCTGGACTACTTTTTATCTTGGTACATGAGCAGAACCTCTAGCTTCAGCAGTTTAAGCTGGACAGCAGTACTTTTGCACAAAGCCTCTTAATCAACATCCTGTCCAATTTATTTATTTGATTTATATACTGCCCTCCCCATGGACGGGCTCAGGGCAGTTTAGCTGTTCCTTGACATTATACAGGTTCATACTCCAGAATCCTGACACTTCTGAGAAAGCCTAATTGAGAAGTCCCTTTTTCCAGTGGATTTATCTCCAAATTAAAAAGGGTAGCACCTTAAAAACCCAATTGTAAGTCTGACTGAACTCAATGAAACTTACTTCCAAGTAAACACATCAATCACTGTGTAAGGACAATTGTTCCCAGAAGGCTGAATCACAGTGCTGAAAAGCTGAACTACTTACTGATTTGTCATTTTCCTTAGCTGCTCTCACTGCCTGAAGGTGTTCAAAGTGGTACAACATACCACCCTGCCTCTGATCTTTTCTCATACCCTGAGCAGAAGTCTTGATATGATGCTAAAAGATGACTGAAAGGTACTGTGCTACCACCAATTTTGGCACCTACAACCCTCCAGTATACACAGACTTGGCACCCACTGAATGTTTTAGTAATAGCTTGTGAAAGGCTAGCTAGTACCTCTGTTGTTTTGATGTCCACAGTGAAGATGGCTTTGTTTGGGTTTCGTACAGAAGCTGGCAGGGCCTGGGTAGATTCTCCCAGAACCAGGGCATTTAAGAGGGAACAAGAAGAGTTGCTGCATACTGAACAGGAAAGAGAAGTAGATTCTAAATGAGCCCAAGTGTCATGAAGCTTGCTAGTACAGATGTTCCGAGCAGCTAATGAAGTAAAGCAATAGGAATTCCATCCATTTTCTAAACAGAAACAAAAATAAAGTTCAATAAACACTGAAATGTCTCCATATTATAGGAAATAGTTTCGAGAGAAACAACAAGAAAAACACTCAAAATGTAGTTTACATAGTTTAGAAAGTCACCACACAGTAATGGCAAAATGTCAAAAACTCAAGTCAGCAGGTATAACAAGAGATGAAAAGCAAGCCTATAACTATGTTCCCAGTTCAAAGATATTCAAGTTTTCTTCTTCTCCCATTTTCAAATAACCCCCTCCGTAGCTGTTTTTGTTGCCAAGCTGTTCTAATGTCAGTTACAAAAAAAAAAAAGCTGAAGAAGGTGAAAACTTTAAAACATTTATACATTTCAATGTAACCTGCCAAGTATTCACCAGATAAAGATGCTTTATTCCTGCAGAGTCTGGAAAGGTCACTCCTTCTTTTCTTGTTTGTCCGAGGAAAAGATCTGCTCAGCTCTTCATAGATCCCAGGAAGACTCATGCCTATCGAAGAGCCCAGAAGCATCTCCTGGGGGGATCCACATTCCCGGACTGCTGTACACATGCCTTTCTTGGAGTACTTTCCCTCCAGAAACACAGCCTCTATCACAGAAAAAGAAACAGAAAGTCAAATCTACAAATGACCAGTTTAGCATAATCATGAGACCCAAATACAGTAGTAATGAGAAGTCAATGATGATAAGTGTAGAATGGAGGAAGCTCGGGTATCAAACGGAGCAGGGGTGTAGTGCCATGAGCCATCTGGGCTGGCAAAGGAAGACCTGAAAAGCATAAACGGGGCCCCTGTGGTTGAGAAGCACAACAGCTAAGGAGGAACCCAGGAGCACAAAGGCCACGCTGGAGTCTGTGAAAAACAGATTTTTAGAGGATTGACAAAGCCACCGGGCAAACATGAGCTACTATTTGCGCACTGAGCAGCGAGGGTAAGACTTAACTGGAGCTGGCTCGCTCAATTATGGAAAAGTCTTTACTAGATCAACTAGACAGAAGCACGTTCTGTTGCTACACAAGCTCCGCTTGGCAGAAACGCACGAGCGCCTTTCTAAAAATTGAGTGCATTTTAATTGCCCAGTGTAAAGGGCACGCGCTCTGCACATGTTCAGAGGCACTGACCTTTGTACAGCATAAGTCTCCGAGAGAATTGGTGCTGAAATCTATCTCGCCCCCCACCCACCATCACTTTCCGTGCTCACCTAATTCTCGCTACTCCTGCCAAACATCAAACCCAAACTGCCCAGCCGCAAATCTGCAGCGAGTAGGCGGAGAACTAACAGCAGCCTCAACCAACGAGACCCAAGGAACTTGTAACCGACTACCGGACGCGCCAATGGATTCCGAGGAGCGAAGCCCGCCTAACGCTCGAAAACGTAAAATAAAAACCCGCGCAAACGGTTGCTAAGGACGCACCAATCGCCTTCTACCAGGGAGCGAGCATGTCCTTTCGCTAAGTGCCTCTGGACTTCTCTCCCTCTCTCCCTCTCTCTCTCACTCCAGAGCTCCTATCTGTAAGGAAATAGCGAAGATTCCCTCACCCCCAATAACCGCGTGGAAATAAGGGTTTCTCTCTTTTTTGGCCCTTTCATTTTTAGTCCTCGGGTTGCTTTTTTTGAAGCCTTTAAAATTTAGAGACTAGGTATCTTGTCGACCTCAAAGTCAATAATATCGCCCATTTTTCTTGTGTTGCCGCCTCAAAATTCATTTTCCTGGTATGTTTTTCTAACCTTCACACAACTTTCCTGACGCTACAGTGATATCTCTAGGCTGCATGTCTTTTTTTCTTCTTCTCCATACGCCCTTTTGGTCTTCCTTTCTCTGCGCTTAATCAGTTCTCATAGTTTCTTTTATAGATTTAGGATTGCCAGCTCTGGGTTAGGAAATACCTGGAGATCTGGGGGGGGCAGGGTCTGTGGGGGCAGATTGGGGAGGGGAGGGACCTCAGCAGGATATAAATGCCATCCAGCCCGCAGATCGGATAATCCCAGGAGATCTCCAGCTACCACCTGGAGGTTGGCAACCCTATAAAGCACCCTCCTAAGCAGGTCTCAGGATCCTATCTATGGCTGCGGTCACACGGCCAGGAAAATGCGGGGGGGAAGCGTGGCTGTTTCCCCCGGGGAAAATCAAAGCGCGGTTGCACGATCAGACCTCCCATGGAGGTCCCGTGGAGGTTCCGTGGAGGTCCAGTAGTTATGGGGAGGTGCGGATCACACGGCAAAGAAGCAGGGCCTCGGGGCAAAGAAGCGGGGGCCGCACGCCGAGGGAAGGCGAAGAGGGGGCTGCCAGAGACAGCCGGCCAAGCGGTGCTGGGGAGAAGAGGGGCCAGCTGCCGACTGGGTGGTGTGGCATCGTGTCGGGCACGGCGTTTTCCCCACCAGTGAGGCAGGCAGGGGGTGGGCAGTAGGTCTGGAAGGGCACCAGTCCGGGGAGCTGGCCGGTGGGGCGTGCGAAGAGGGCACAGCAGCATGGCCCAGCCCCCTCTGCCCTGACCGCCCCTCCGCCCAAGCAGACGTCCTACTCTGCCGCCCCCCCTCTTCTGGGCTTCATCTTCTGCCTTGCCCCCTTTCCCCCATCTGTCGCTCGCCGCCTCAAGCCATGCACTCGTTGGTGCTGTCTTCTGGCTGCTCTCCTCTTCTCTGCACGACGTACGTTGTGTGTTTTTTTTAATTAAACATCCGTTTGCGCATGCTCCGTTTGGTGCTTGTGCGCAATCGTGGAAACTCGGGAAAAAAAAACCTTTTAGCTAGGAGACATGGGCAGGCGCTGGAACATCCTCTGGAAACACGGTCATACGCCCGCCCTTGCCCCGCGGTTTCTGGAAACTAGTACCTCCACGGTACTAGTTTTTTACTGCGCTTCTTTGGCGTTTAGCCACGGGTTACCGACGGGAGCTCTACACTTGCCAGATGTTGCCCTGTGATCGCGCCAGGAAACTCCGCCTCTCTTCCGTCTCTGAAGCGTGGCTTATGCTCCGTGTGACCGCAGCCTATATATCTAATAGCCAAGTTGCCCCCTCCGTGCAGATATCTAAATCCACACATCGGGGGCACTTGGGGGGGGAAAGAGATTTTCCTGCAAATTTGGGGCAATCCCCAGATGTGCAAAAAAATCTGAAAAGTTGAAAAAATATACGGGGGATACTTAAATCCCCCCAAAGTAACAGAGCGTTCCCTGCACATGTGCAGGAAATGCTCTGAGAACTGCCTCACCGCCGCCACTTGCGGGGGGAGGTCGAAGGCTTGGTGGGCCGACAGCTGTGAGCCGCTCAGCCCTCACCACCGCTGCCGCAAGTTGGGCAGGCCAGCCAGGCCTTGCCACCGTGAGGGGAGGGAGAAGGCTTGGCAGGCTGAGCTCAGGCCTCACCGCCGTTGCCTATAGTTTTTTTTACAGATTTTAGATTTTTCTGCACATCTGGGGATTACCCAAAATGTGCAGGAAAATCTCTTTGCCCCCTAGGTGCCCCCGATGTGCGGATTTAAATATCCGCACGCAGGGGGGGCCTTGGCTGTTAGATATATAGATATCTAGATGAAGCCCCTTGCCCTCAGATGCCTATAACAATTTTTCCTGACTTTGAGTAAAATAGCCTTTCCCCTTCTATTTAAGGCTGCAATTATGTGCACAGTTACATGGCGGTAAACCCTAGGAACTCAGTGAGATCTAATTTGAATAAAGATACGTAGGTTCAGGCTGCTTGAATTTAGCAGTATCACAAGTTTTCTTGTATCTATCAGCATGACTAGAGCTGACCCATATACCAATTGCATATCTACTGCACTACCTAAATTGTTTTTTCCCAATTTTTAAAAATGTTATTAGTCAATGTATATTTAGATATATTTATCAGTCAGTTGACAAACTGAAGCACTCTAATTGCTTGTCTTATTTTTATAAGCCTCTTGCACTGTGTACACACTCACCAGGGAGCAAGTCCCAAGTCCTGAAATCTCATAATTACCCTAAGTATGCAACTATGGTGGCTCAAGTGGTTAAGACGCTGAACTGCAGGCTGGAAGGTCGGTAGTTCAGCATTTCGAGACCCAAGTGCTGCATGACGGAGTGAGCTCCCATCTCTGGTTCCAGCTCCTGCCAACCTAGCAAGTTCGAAAGCAAGAAATTGCAAGTAGATAAATAGGTAACCTTTCGGTGGGAAGGTAACAGCGTTCCGTGTGCCTCGGCGTTTAGTCATGCCAGCCACATGACCACGGAAACGTCTTCGGACAGCGAAGAAAACTGAGATGAGCACCACAACCCTGGAGTCTTCGGCTTGGAAACTGAGATGAGCACCACAACCCTGGAGTCGGATTTGACTGGCTTTCAAGCAAGGGAAACCTTTACCTTTACTATGCAACTGTACCTTTCAACACATTTGCTAGTATTTAAAGTGCCAACATTCCTCTATTTGTTCTGAGTTCTGAGTGAAGGCTAAAGTCCTTACAACAATGTGATATGTTTCAGAAATTTTGCACACTATATTTCTATTAAATGAATACTGCAATCATAAACATACTTGTAATGTATTCAGATGCTGCCTGAATGCATTAGGAGGTATGTAAATCCTCCCATAGAGAAGCCATGCAAAGCTTCAGCTTCGGCAGGGATTCGCGCCGAAAAGTATTGTGGCCAATCAGATTTGAATGTTTGTAAGCGGGACCGCTTATGATTGGTCGTTCATGCACACAACCTGATAGGTTGGTTTAATGTACAGTAGGTGTGGCTACATTAGCCCGGAATGTTTAAATACCGAGCAGCTGAAATGGACAAGCTGTTCGGGCTATGAGGAGTTGTACCGTGTCAGAAGAAGTCGATTGAAGAGCTGAATAAACTTGAGTTTTGCTGAATCACTCTCTGACTACTTTGTTAAGCACGGACTTAACAATTGGCGACGAGGATGGGATCCAGGAGCGGGTAGGCAGCCCCGCTGGTCCCGACCCAACGACGGACAACCAAGAGCAGCAGCTCGCCGTGGCAGAGCAGCGACAGGCACCACCAGCACCGGTGGCAGCGATCGCAGCTATGTCCAATAGCCCGAAGTTCGAGGCATTCGAACCAGCGACCGAGGACTGGGACGCCTACCTGCTGAGGTTCGGGTTCCACCTCGAAGCGAACGACATCACCACGGAGGAGAAGAAGCGAGCCACCCTCCTGAGCTCTTGTGGCAAGAGCGTGTTCGATGTCGCCAGGTCTCTGGTGGCACCAGCGGACATCGGAACAGTGCCGTTCAAAGAGCTGACGGAGAAGTTGAAGGCACACTTCTCCCCGCAACCGTCGGCGTGTTCGATGTCGCCAGGTCTCTGGTGGCACCAGCGGACATCGGAACAGTGCCGTTCAAAGAGCTGACTGAGAAGTTGAAGGCACACTTCTCCCCGCA